CCTTGATTGTACATCATCGGTTGATGAAAGCACCACCAATTGGTCAAAATGTCATAAAAATTGTTGTAAATGTGCACTTGTCCCAAGTAATTATATAGGCCTATCTCTCTTTACTTTTCTTGTAGTAAATTGTAATACAGCAATTATTTTTATGTAATTAATTTTTAAATCCAGTCTTCATCTGCTTGCTTATTTTTTATGTATCATTGTCACAATGCCCTGAGAATATGAAATAATGTGGTTAAAATGTCTAAAGTTAATTAGCATGTCTTTTTCTTAATTTACTGCTGGGCTCAGACCAAAACAATCTACTTGATCATAAAATGCCCTATAATTGCATTTTGCCATTTGCAATTGTATTTTTTTGTTGTTGTTATATTTGATTTATAATTGCCCATCCAGACCGGTCATGATTAGTGATTATTCTCACATAAGGTTTATCATTTACGGAAATGTAAATTTCCATTTGATCAGAATGACAATGAAAATGTTCATAATTCAATCTTGTCATAAAAATCTGAATTTAATGCCCTTAAATCTATGTAGCATGACCATAAGCAGCTCTATTACATGTAATTTCAAAACAAAACTACACTGGGGCATGTTTAAAGTCAAATTAATTCAAGTTTTAAAAGACCTTGCTGCAGCAAAATACATGCTATTTAATAATAATAATAATAATGAAACATAAATAAAACTAAATCATTGGCTTGTTTTGCAGCAAGAACATCAGAAATATGTTATACCAAACAGAGATCAGTTTTTTTTTTACAAAATATGATACATGAAGAGAACAAGAGTCCAGTTTAAATGAAATCCCGAGAATCAAGGCAGCAATATTTTGTGAACATGTATGAAGATTTAGTATAAGGCACAATTAAGACATAAAATAAGACTCATTCTTGCTTTTGCAAGTGCAAGTAATAAGACATGTCATATAATTGTCTTGATGCCACACTTATTTGTTTAGTGTATTCTGTCACTATAAACTGGTCGGCCACTCATCCTGTTACAGTTAACATCCTGACATTTCTTTTTTTATACCAATCATTTATTATTCATACATATACATTTAGTGCATTGTTTAAGTAGGTGAATTGGGATACAGCGTTGCTTTAGGTCATTGCTGTCTTGCCTTGATTGTACATCATCGGTTGATGAAAGCACCACCAATTGGTCAAAATGTCATAAAAATTGTTGTAAATGTGCACTTGTCCCAAGTAATTATATAGGCCTATCTCTCTTTACTTTTCTTGTAGTAAATTGTAATACAGCAATTATTTTTATGTAATTAATTTTTAAATCCAGTCTTCATCTGCTTGCTTATTTTTTATGTATCATTGTCACAATGCCCTGAGAATATGAAATAATGTGGTTAAAATGTCTAAAGTTAATTAGCATGTCTTTTTCTTAATTTACTGCTGGGCTCAGACCAAAACAATCTACTTGATCATAAAATGCCCTATAATTGCATTTTGCCATTTGCAATTGTATTTTTTTGTTGTTGTTATATTTGATTTATAATTGCCCATCCAGACCGGTCATGATTAGTGATTATTCTCACATAAGGTTTATCATTTACGGAAATGTAAATTTCCATTTGATCAGAATGACAATGAAAATGTTCATAATTCAATCTTGTCATAAAAATCTGAATTTAATGCCCTTAAATCTATGTAGCATGACCATAAGCAGCTCTATTACATGTAATTTCAAAACAAAACTACACTGGGGCATGTTTAAAGTCAAATTAATTCAAGTTTTAAAAGACCTTGCTGCAGCAAAATACATGCTATTTAATAATAATAATAATAATGAAACATAAATAAAACTAAATCATTGGCTTGTTTTGCAGCAAGAACATCAGAAATATGTTATACCAAACAGAGATCAGTTTTTTTTTTACAAAATATGATACATGAAGAGAACAAGAGTCCAGTTTAAATGAAATCCCGAGAATCAAGGCAGCAATATTTTGTGAACATGTATGAAGATTTAGTATAAGGCACAATTAAGACATAAAATAAGACTCATTCTTGAATTGACAAATGTATATGATTTTTCATGATACATTCAACAGAATGACCGTTGAACTGCAGCTCAAACAGTGTCAATAAGAAAAAAATTATTATGGTTGCTATTCTGAGAAAGACCCCTTCAATCATACTATAGTATGACCTCATAATCTTAACAGTTCTGGTCTGAAAAATATAAGATGATAAAAGACTTAGATATGATCACACATTCCTTAGAAAATGTAGTGGTATTGTTAGTGCACATTATTAGATTGGTTAACCACTGGAACCAATCAACAGTACCCATACAGGAAAAGGAGATTGCATCAAATGACATTATGACATGTGTTATTACAGATCGGTTAGTCTGCATGCTTCAGGTCATAATTCTGTTCCTTCGAAAGTGCTACATCAACTGTGTGTACACAGAGAAAACTTAATTGAAGTCAGAGCCACAATACCAACCACTACCTGAACCGTTGCACACGAGAAAAAGAAACACAGAAACATTGATTTTGAACATTCTTTTCGTGAGAAATTAATATTTCTTTTTATTATTTTTTTAATTTGTAAAATGTACATAAATTATATTTGACGCATAACCGCCGAATGAGTAATTCAGTGAACCTCTTTGCAAAGGGAAGGAACATAAGTTAAGATAAAGAAAGAAAAAAAAAATAACGGCACAAGGCATTCCTTGTTGAGATAATTTTCAAACAAACATTGGTCAGACATTTTTCTCCATCTGGGAAAGCAATGTGCTACTGAAGAGAGAAGAGTTCATCACACACCTTCATCATTAGAATCATCCCATTTATGTATTTGTAGGGAAATTAAGGATACATATTCATTGCCCCTTACCCAAAGGCCTTCACACGCCCATCGTTTCATTCCAGTAACCCCCAACCCTCCCATGTCAAGAGGAACAGAGACGAAACGGGGTGGGTTTATAACATGAACATTCACAAAAAGTGCAGACAGGATAGATAACTGCTATGTGTTCGCTTCACCTGGGTGAAACTTGTTCATTCTTTTCCAGATACAGACCTTTTTTTAAGTGCAGATAAAGGTTTTAAAGAAATATAGACCTTTTAAAGAAATAAAAGTGGAATTCAGCCACATGCTTTTCAAATATTAATCATATATTTAATGGATATACATATATTGCCAACATTGGCACGTTCGATATTGCACACAGTAATGAAATATAGCACTGGGAAAAGACAAAAAAAAAAAAAACCTTTGTGAAGCAAAGTTTCCAAACTGACAAATTACGTGAAGAAACACTGAAAAGTTAGAGGAAAGGGGGGGAAAAAATCCTGGCCACACCCCTCAACTAAACTTTTGGTCTGTGACAGAGACACATTACTGCCAACAGAGAGGCTTCAGTAGAAGTTTACCTCACACCAAAGGAGTTTGTTGAGAAAAACTAAACATCCTTTTGTCAGGCATGTTGCATTTGATAAATTTTCGTCAAGGTGGGGAAAATGCCTAGGTGATTTCTGAGTCACTCGTTGTGATCAGTATGATTTGCTTCTCGACTAAACAAACCACGAGTTATGCAATATCATACAGGAGGGCCAGGGCTTAACAAAACCAGACGAGAAAAAGGGGAAAAGAAAAAAGCTAAACAAAAATCATCAAGAACCCAAACTTAGATCCAAAGCACCAGCCAGTGTATAAGCATGCGGAGTCTGTAAGGCACCAGGTTGTTTAATGCTGAAGAGTATGCTCCCCAACAAGTTTCATTAAAGTCAGGGTCTCCCAACACAGGTCCTCAAGGGCCCCCAAGGAAAAAGGTCTTTCGTCTCAAAAGACTTGTTACTGATGTCTGATCAAACAGTCAAAAGAGTTGATATATTATCTTATGTACACATATTTCTCGGACAACTCATTCCTTAAAAGAAAAAACAAGTATTAATTAAACTTGACCAAACATTACTGACATTATAGACATTGAAACCATTACAGAGATGAGTCCTTGAGGACGAACATTGAGAAATCCACCTCAATGTGGCTGTGTACAGGTTAACATGCAACTACAGCATTCCTTGGCGCCACTCATCCTCTCATTGGTAGACTGATATATATATATATATTTCTATATATTTCTTTTTAAACCCTTTAACAGATTGTTTGTCAAATCCCCCACTAAAAACGTGGGTTGTTTTCTTCTCCACTGAAATACATCTGATTCACAAAATCATACTTTGTATGTTTTTCTACATGAGCATTTTCATATGTTTCTTTGTATGTTTGTATCGAGGGGTCCGGTTTAGTTACAAAAAGGTTTTAGAGAGCTCTTTCTCTTCTGTTGTCATTGCTCTTACTTATTAAGTACCTTTTTTTATACACTGTGCATGACAACGAGACACAAATACATAGCATATCATCTGCATGACAAGAACTTCAATTAAAAAAATACACTGGTAATACTCCTCAGAATGTTTGCGAAGAGGTCGCCCACCACCCCTGGACACCTACACACTGCGACCACTTGCTCTGGTGACCTCTGTCAATCAACAGGTTGATATCCCCCCCCCCCAACCCCCCCATCTAGCCCTCAGGTGATGGTTGGAATATTTAGTGGCATGGCTACCATTACCAACCTCTTCAGATGATTCGAAAATTTGGTAAAAAAAAAACTAAAACATCTGATGTGTGCTGAAGTCATTAGCTCACACGTAAAGGAACCGCTTCCTCGTAATCTCGGCAATAACTCCATTGCAAACACTTTTAGAATATCTTGGAACATGTAAAAAAGTTCTGGGTTAATAAGGGAAAAAAGAAACACTCAGTTCTGTTGTCGTCGTCAAGTAGGAAACACAGTTCATATATAATGTTATTACTTGTTTTAGCAGCCGCTTACTGTATTAATGGTGGGTAAATGGATGACATCCAGCGATGGGGTGGACTGTCAGTCTGTGGAGGTTTGTATTTTTTGTGGGTGGTGCTCCCTTGGAGTTAAACAGTTACTTATGTATCTCTCTCTTTTTTTTTTTTTTTTTTTATACAGCAAAGTACATAGAATTTCTCTTTAGGTTATTCTGATTATTTTTTTTGCATGTTTCTCTCCACTATCAATCCTCGTCCCCGTCGTCTCCGTGCATCTCCTCTTGTTGCTGCTGCTGCTGCTGAAGCTCGCATGCCCTTTTTTCCCGCTGTTTCTCTTGAATCTTTTTCATTTCGTCTGCGTATTTACAGAAAGTGCTGCCGAATTTCGACCACACTTTGTAGGGCACTGTGATAGAGTTGCGATAGGTGGGCTTGACTTCGCTTACCCTCATGAACACCCCGTACTTATTGGAGCCCACGTCAAAGAAAAAGCGCTTGTTGTCCACAGTTAACGAGGTTCCCTCGGGCAGTTCCGCCGGCTCGTCATCCACTCCGTAGTCGTCGATGAGTTTGGCGAGAGCGTCGCGAAACTCGATAAGTCCCTGGGCTGGAAGAGCGATGGTCTGGCCTTGCGTGGCTCCCAAGCCGGGCCCCCGGTTGACGGTTTTTCAGTTGAGAGAGCCTTGACGTGTTTTCCATGCAGGCATTTTAGTTTAGGTTTGTACAAGAGGTAATAAACAGAAAAAAAGGAATATTTACATGCAATTCTCCTCAGTCCTCAAATAAAGCAATAAGGAATATGCAGCGTTTATGCACGCCTTGAAAAACAAACACTGGAATACTGAAAATTTCTGAAATTCAGAAATGCAATAATTAGATAGAATTAACGTACATTACCAGACCATTTATTTTTTTCAATGTTTAATGTTTCTCTAAAGACCGAGCACACTTTGTTTGGCGAGAGCGTCGCGAAACTCGATAAGTCCCTGGGCTGGAAGAGCGATGGTCTGGCCTTGCGTGGCTCCCAAGCCGGGCCCCCGGTTGACGGTCTGCCGGATCCTCAGAAAGCGGCCCCTCTGGTTCTCCTTCAGATCCATGTAGTACTTCCGATTCTCCCGGACCAGAAACTCACTCTTCAGCGCCCGCCGCGGCTCATCCTGCGCTATGTCGGGATTGCTCGGCCCTAACTGGGCATAGTGCTCGATGAAGTCCCCCAGGTAATCGCGGAACTCGACAGCGCATTTATTTTTTTCAATGTTTAATGTTTCTCTAAAGACCGAGCACACTTTGAATACAACCAGCATTCATAAACATAGGGCCTGTATAGTTAGGAAAAAAATATAAAATATATTCAATTGCTTACACATATGCATGTCTATTCTAGCATATGCTTTATTAAATAAAGTTCATGTCTTTAATTTTTGTAATTCGAAGAGAGTTTAATATACAATAAAATAAAAATATAATAAATAAAATGCATTTAAACTCTATTTGCATTCCAGGCAAGTGTCTAAGATAAGTGTTTTCCCCCTGATTAAAAAATAAATAAATAATAATTAGCCTATATTACCTTGGGCTAAACAAAAGTTAATGCTCCCTACTTTGTGTGGCCTGTTGCTTGCTAGAATGAAGAATGTCTTAACTGGTTATTCTTAATTGATACTTCACATTTTGACATTTAAAACTTCTAATGCACGTGTAAACTACTTGACATGGGCCTATAACACAAGTGACAGTGCGTAAAAAAAGACACCGAGTGAAGGAAACAGGGACCGCCGACTCCAATTCATGAGCGTCACTTAAAGGTGTGCTTGTTTGTTTGGTCTAAGGTGAACTCTGTAAGCTTGAACTCAAAACGGTATGTCACAGTCACACTTAAATGGCACACTGGATTTGCCGCAACAGAGTCTGACAGCCTCGCTGTATGTCAGCACTGTAAACAGTTAACGAGTTTGCGCAATCAGTCGGTGATATCGGCCCACGGCTGCGAACATTAATTCCGTGGTTGTTATACTGACAAAAAACAACTATACCGCAGAATGCCATGAGATATGATCGTAAAGTGCAGTGCTGTTGCCAAAGTCGCAGACCTCATAACGAGCGACGTGGTTCGGCATATCTTACCCCGCTTAGTCTGCAGGCAGAGCGTTAGCCCCCGTGCAAGCCCTTCGCAGTTGAACACTGTCAGAAACAAAGATGAAAACATGTAAGCCCCGAAGGCCTACTGTAAACGCTGTCGCGGTACTGCTTCACCAATGCGCCGTTCACAAGATGGAACGAAAGCGCGAGTCGTGGCATGGAGACGGACGCACGCAGGAGCTCAACGCTGTGAGCGTGGAGTCTGATGTCAGCACGCTCAGCTGGGGAAAAGCAAATAGCTCTTGCGCCTCGCACTGTTGCTTTCGCGGTATTGCAGCCGGACTTGCCTCTTTAGCGGTTTTGATATTGGAGAATACTTCACATACATCTCATATGAAATTTATTATCCGTATTCTGAGTAGATTCGGTGTGCTATAAGCTGCAAGTATTGTAGAATCGAAAAACTAGTGTCACGATCAACTTTTTACAGGGTTGTTAAATTAAGTGTGTATGCGAAAGTAGAATGCACATGTGCTTTATTATCTTCCTTATGTCACTGTAGTTTCTCCTAGGCTCTTAAAGTTTTTTTTTTTGTTTTTTTTTCTTTATTTTTTTGTTTTTGTTTTACCATATACATTTTATCATGTGAGTTAACAAGATAAGATGCTTTGTTGAATTTACGGTGATTCATTTAACTACCATTTTAGAGGAGACTAACTTATTTAATAAAAAGTTTTTAGTGTTTAGAAAAGCGTGATTAAGATGTTTATCATGTTTGATATGATCAAATGGTTTATAGAGATAAGATGTGTAGCCTGCACGTGTCATGTTATCACGTGTACACTTGGACTGTGTCATGTCTTCATTTTCTGATTAATTTTAAGTGGTTGTACCCTATAAAGACGAAAGAATAATTTCGTTAAACTCATATTTTACATTGTAGTTTAGTGTAGTTTGGTCGGTGGGAGGTCGAGGGCAGCGCTGTTTCAGAACCATGGACAGTAACCGCCGAGTCTCGTCACTGCCTTTCTAGTGATCGATCCGTTTCGAATTTTGTCTTTAGTAGTGTGCCTGTGTAACCTACAAGTAATAAAGAGACTTGTGTCTCTTTATGTGGACTCCACGTCCACATTTCTGAACTATATATATATATATATATGTTCTGGATGTCAACCCGCTTCGAGGCGAGCTCCTGCGTCTCGTGCTGCAGCCCAGAAGCCGAGCCCGCCCCTCCTGTCACTGGGTGCATGGAACCGACACCCGGGCCCGTGGCTGCTCCTCCCTGCTCACTTCCACTGTCTCTGTCCGCCATGATGCTGCCTGCCTTCTCCCTCTGTCTTACTGCAAGCCTACTGCCAAGCAGCCACGCTACCGTTCTCGCGAGATCTGTGTGAGGAGAGAAGACGAGCGCTGTTCAGACCTGTGCCGATTCCGAATAAATTCATCGTACAGAAGGTCTAACACTGCAGCCGAACGCTCTAATCACATAGTATGTCTGACCTGGAAAATCATGATCAATTTAAAGAGAAAGTAAAATATTCAATTCATTGCGTCCGTGTGCGCTGCCTTTACCGCGGATCAATAGGCTATATTTCACTGCCGTCAATGTATTTTAGTCTATATAGCCTATAGTCGATACAGAAGCCATTTGCTTAAGTTTCGTTGTCCTCTAGGTTTTTATTCGTTTGTAGCTTATAAAATGAATTAATAAACAGTGGTTAAAATGGAACAGGAGATTAAATGTTGCCGAAAACGGAAAAACTGAGTTTTCTATAGCCTATGCAAAGTGACAGAAATTGATATAATTCTTACTGATCGCTTACGCATCCCGCTGGTATTTACGCATATTTAATGAGCAATTTTTCACGATATAAACTGGCTAACAAACGTTTCGGGGCAGACCGGTTGTGTTTGGATAGGTTTTCATTTAGTTCATCCTTCATTCAATAATGCACTTCGGCCTTTTTTGTGATGGCAAAAATAAAAATAGATTATTGGAAATAAAATATTTTTTTCAGATGCATTCATACTGATGCATTGACGCAAAATGCATTAAATGGCTTACTTAATGCAATTTAAGCTACTAAATAAATTCAGTGTTTGATTTCTTCAGCTTTTAAGGTGGTTACATTTTAGTTTGGTAAAAGCGTGATTTATGACATATATATTGTATTTTCTGTAGGTTTATGTTATGCACTTATAGGCTACAATACTAGTTATTTTTCTCCAACCTATTATTTAACATTTGCTACTGAATGCATTTTTACCAGATGCAAATAATTCATTATAATCAACTAGATAACATCCCCAGATATTTGTTGTTTTCTAGTTGTTCAGCTTTTATTTTAATATCGAAAAAAAATATCCTTGTAAAAAAATGTGAGCAAAAAAATCGAGGCTTACTAAAATCAAACCTCAGTGTCTGAAAAGGATTTTGTGGTGATATTGTTTTCAATGCCTGTTTGAAGAAAATAATGTAGGCCTAACAGTTGAATTTTTCTTGAGACAGTTGCGATGGATGCTTTGACCAAAGCGGTTAAGAGGAATACGTAGCCTCTGTGTTGTATGACCGTTAGGCTACATATAAGCAGGAGAATATCTCTCGACCTATTAAAACTAAACGTGGCGATATTACAAGAACACTAACACAGTTCATGCAATTTGTTTCAATACAGCTGTTCTCAGATATTATAGGCTATACAAAAATATAAGCTTTTACAAAATATTTATTTCGTGCGCATATAGGCAAATGAGTAATGGGTTTCAGACATTTGCTTAAAAAATACTAACTTAAACGAGTAAAATAATATAATTTATTGAAATATCTAAAATCCATAACCATAATCATATCTAAATGCTTTGTTTCTTACTATTTTCTTTGTCAATCCACACAAAACCCATGCATAAGATTAATTAAAAAATGTTTGGCAATGCAATACAAAATTATAAAATGATTTATTCGTTTATAAACATGGTTTTTAAAGCAAACTGTTTTATAAATGTAGAAGTGCCTCACTTTGATTTCGATTTTTATTAGTTATTAGATTATTTGCGTGTTTTCCTGTAGTTGTAGAAATATTTCCCATATTCAAACTCAGGTACTTAACAAAACATCAAACAAAAGTCGACTGGATAATTACACCAGTGTTTTGAATTAGTTTTCTTTAACTTAACTTAACTTAACTGGTCTGTAATTTAATTGAAATTGTAAGTATTAACCCTGGAAAGTGATGACATTTTTTAAATAAACGTTTATTTTTTCACGCATCCAAGAATTGATTCTCTCTAATAATTTAGTTTAGAAAACATTTTAATAATTTAGCAGCGTCTTTGTTAACAATTAGTACCATTGTGATAGACGTATCTGATTTGAAAAGCAAAACGCATTTTTCAGAGTCGGGACTGTACATTGAAATATTCTGATGCGTCTAATCGTACCTTTTTACTTTCACAAATGAGCTGTGGACGTAAAAATACCACATCGTCATTAATAATCAAATTTCTTGCATATTAATGTTATTTTAATCTTAAAGTTACAACTGTAATACCATTGCAAGCTATAAAAGTTAAGAAAGAACAAAAAGTTAAAATATAAAATCTCCTAACTCAAAAGTCTACAATGTAATAACGTAGATTAAAATGAGATATTTAGAATTTATCTCCTTTTAAATACGTATATTTTAGATAAATATGGTCACTGAGTGATGCCTTGAAAAAACTGAGTGAATATAGTGAACATATATATATATCTATATACATATACACACATTATATATATATATATAATATATATTTTTTTTTTTACTAAAACATTTTATTAAAAGCTTTTTAATCCCCATGTTATGTCAATTCACTTTCAATAAAATATTTATTAATTAATTACTTTCTTTCATGTTTGCCCTTTAAGGACAAGCGTCTCCTCTTTTAAATCCATTAACCTTTTTTATGTTCGACACATTCGTAAATAGTCAACCCTGTTACAATAATTTTTATAGTAATCATCTCATTATTTAAAAGTAGATTTTTTCTACTTTTATTTTTTCTAACAAACACCTTGTAGTGTCATGACCTTGCACACGCTAAATGAGCTGTAAAACTGTCAACCCTATATCACAACGTCATAATAGTTTTCCTGATATAACTTGAAATGCATGGCACAATGCACCACTTTAACACTTAAAGACATTCTTTGTCTAATAGAATGTACAAAATAAAATTTACATTTTATATATATCTTAAATTATTTTATTTTTGTTTATTTATTTTATTAATTTATTTATTTATTGGTTAGGCCAAAGCTCAGTTTATTACAATGTTATCTTATTAAGGAAAGCATTCAGCATTCTACAAATAAGCCGTAAAAGCTCAGCAAGGGCCAGTTTATGAACTATCACCACTGTGCCTTGTGCAAAATCATAATCCCAAGTTACTCCAATTAAGGGACACTGGTACTGTACACTGTTGGGTACGGTGTACTGTTCTTTAATTTAAAATTAAATAAATTTAAAAGTTTGAGGGACTACAACTTGTGCTATTTATTACTAATGATTCCTCACAGTCATCTTACATGTTAGAAAGTTGTTGTGGCTCTGTCTGCGTGCGCACAGAACAGCAGATGTCGCCCTTAGTGAAGTTGTAGCTACGCTCATTTGCAGATCCACAGGTTCAGCCTTCATTTAGTTAATGATTTATATATCGTTCCTAACCTGTTAAAGTCAAATATTGATATTTATCATCTCCTTTTAAACATTCCGTGTCTACCAACACTGTGTGTCTATCAATGCTTTACCATCTAGCGCACATATTTTGCGTTTGATGCACTCTGCTGCTACATTCGTGATGTTCCTTCATTTCATTTGTTAAAAATGTTCTCATTCGTCCAGGCATCAGCAATGCAACGGATACCAGATGTAGCCTATGGATTTGATGCAACGCCTCACTATGATTTCTCTCTCTCTCTCTCTCTATCTGAGGCAGAACGGCGAATGTGACCTGAATGCAGGGCATGATTTAGTAATGGAATAAGACGCAAAACTCATTCAAAGCTCATTCACTCGCACTGTTAGCCATCGCGCTCAAAGCAGCGCAAACCACTGCGGTGCTCTAACGATTTACAGGAAGATTTGAGTCGGGCCCTTCCCTGCACCATACATTTTGGTGTTTGTTTTTTCTTTTCTTTTTTTACGCCTCACTATGATTTCTCTCTCTCTCTCTCTCTATCTGAGGCAGAACGGCGAATGTGACCTGAATGCAGGGCATGATTTAGTAATGGAATAAGACGCAAAACTCATTCAAAGCTCATTCACTCGCACTGTTAGCCATCGCGCTCAAAGCAGCGCAAACCACTGCGGTGCTCTAACGATTTACAGGAAGATTTGAGTCGGGCGCTTCCCTGCACCATACATTTTGGTGTTTGTTTTTTCTTTTCTTTTTTCCCCCCTTTTTTTCTTTTTTCTTTTAAAGAAAAAAAATCCGATGAGGATTGGCGATGGGAGAGATCATGGATTGACCATTTTTCTCGGGGTGTCGGAGACTAAAGACGCACACGCCGGCGCGTGGGCGTTCGTTTCAGCACCCCAGCCGTGAATCTGCCGTTTGTGCGGGGAATTTTGCTCTGATATATCGGGGTGGCGGATAGAGACGGGGCGCGAGGGATACGGCAACCGCGTTTTGTCACTACGAAAGTGGATTCTTACAACGTTTTTGCTGAGGGGATATCGAAAGTAGCCCTAATAGTTTGCTGCAGCATTTCACATTCGACTGCAGTGGAAGATACTCAGCAGCCAGTAGCGAGTAGGGCGCTCACCACTGCAATTTCGGGGCAAAGACTGACTGGCGGCGTCTTGTAGATACCTGCTCGTGTCTTCGGAGGAGGCAGCGTCCACGACTTTCCCTGCATTTTACGCTGCGCTTCGGAAGAATGCAGTTGAGGGATCTGTATTAAACCAGCAGCATTACGCCGTTTCCGGTTCCCAGCTGGTGTTTCCCGATTGCAAATCTATCGGAAAAAAGCAGCGGATCCCGATGGCATGGACACTTACGCAAGGTCTGCCGCGCCGCCGTGCTACTGGAGCCTATTCGCAGTCTCTTCAGCCTTCAACCCAGCTCCGCCGCCATCGCCCCACAGCCCTGCCGCAACGCGACCACCGACCATCGAGCCAAAGCAGGCGGCATGAGGAGGCTTGATTCGGTACACTTATCCATGCTGCTCATCGGGGTCTCCTTCGCCTGCTACTCCCCGAGTCTGAATTCCCTGCAGGATCAGGCTTACAAATCCGCCGTGGTGATTGAGGGCAAGGTGCAGTCCGCGCCTCAGAACGTCTCAGCGGAGCCGTACAGTGTGAATGTCAAAGTCCTGGACTTGTGGCCGCGAAACAGCGGGGGTCTGGAGCGGGATCAGCTCGTCACTGTTGGGGAATTTGGCTCGGAGGCTCCGTGCACCAAAGTGAAGAAGAATCACAAGTATATATTTTTCATGGACCCAACTGATGAACCCTTGGTTTTCAAAGCATCGTTTGCGCCCTTAGATACAAGTGGGAAGAACCTGAAAAAAGATGTTGGGAGGATCTTGTGTGAAAACTGCGGTAGGTTTATGCCCACAAAATGCTTGTGCAGGGTCTTGCAAATTGACACATTGACCGTCGGCTTCGATTGTATGCTTATTTGTGGGGCGGATGACATCCAAATGTTTAGTGTAAGTAACAGATGGGGGCTTGTGGGGGCGTCTCTGCAGCAATATTGGGCAGGAATAAAACGCTTAAAGGTTTTTCATGCTATCTTCATACATGCAAAGACATATGCTGTAGTAACACGCGCGCTCGCTGCTCATTTGTAGGATGCCGAATTCTTTCCTCAAGACAAAATTGTAATAAACTGAGCTAGCAGTGTTCATGGCGTAACCATTAGACAGGGCCCACAGCTTGTATGCTCGGATATGAAAAGGTATAGAAGGTCAGAACGACTCAGAATATCTTCTAAAAGTGGCCGTCAGGACCTAAAGCTCGTTGCTCTGTTGGAACAGAAAGTTGCTGGTCTGCGCTTGTGTAATGGGCCTTTAGAACAACTGCACTGGGAGTGGAGCCTTTAAAACTCCACTCAGGACGCAGGGAATATCTTACAGCCAACAGTTATGTGTCACCTGTTTGCACGCCACATTCCTATTATCTTTTTATAATAAGAAATTAAAATTGTTCCCATCGTTTTTCTTCATGATGGCATATTCCTCGAAAGCACATTTTAACCTATGTAACCTATATGTTATAGCCTAGGCTACTTTTGATTCAAAGCGGCAACTCAAATCCAACTCTCACAATTGCAAAGAAAAGAAATGACACTGCATCTTTTCTCAGTGTTGTGACATAACTAGAAGGTGCTACCATTCTGTCAGTCATTAAGTTTCAGGACACCGTGTTTACCACAGGCCTACTGTCAGACGGCTTCTTCTTGTAACGCGTTTAGATTGTCGCTGTCCAGGGTGCTGTACCGTCCTCTCCTCTTCTTATGAACGAGTACGAGAGAAACGCTTCGTCTAAAAAAATGAGAATGGAAATATGCTGTTTATGTAACGTGCATATGTTAATTACTAAATTTTTCATTTCCATGAGTAACTTTTTTTCTTAGACATCATTGCTCATTCTTTGCTACTAGTCACTATCCCAGTGCAAGTAGCCTAAATATTCCATTGTTAACAATTAAAAAAAATTTGTCTATGGTAATTAAAATACCAACTGTTCACTTCTAAATATGAATTCCAATTGTTGCTGGTAGTTTTACTAATTCATTTTGTGCACAAACTAGCACGTATTTATTACACACTAGTGTCCATTCCATTTTTAATGGTGCTAGAACGATTTCTAAATTACTATTTTGAATGCCTACTTTGTAGTGAAATATACAACAACTAAAAAAGGAACTGTAACTAAGGTGACTTTACACAACTTCTTTTAAGGCTGCTCTGTGCCTGCTCAAAACTCACTGTAAAAGCGCAAAGCCGCATAAAAGCCAGGCTAAATTATGCTTGCTCAGACCCACCTCAGCCCTTAGTATCAAAATAAACAATTGTTTCAAAATAAACAGCCCTTAGTATCAAAATAAACAATTGCTGTGTTTAATGCATTTATGCTACCTCTGAGCAGCATTAAACAGTCTATGTAAAGACACCTAAATGCCACTTCAGAGTTGCTTCTGTGCCACCTTTGCAGTGTAAATTTGGCACTAGAGAGCTGATGAATCTAACGTGTCTCATTAATTGGCTCTAGCATCTAATAAATTAGCACTAGCCTATACTATAGGTACTAATAACGATTGAAATGATTTGAAAGGGTAGAAATGAGAGATTGAGTTCTATTGAAGACAGTGATGAAAAAGTACAAGAGTCTAATAATGTGTTGACAGTGAAAAATATTATTTAATTTGTAGTAATTAAGGTGATGTAAGCATCACTAACTAGTTTTAAGGAATAAATGTTAAAACACTTACTACAATATGCTAGCACATGCAACTTATGAGAGCATAGCAGACAGAGGCCTTGAAATAGAAATATCGTTTTGATTTTTCTAACCTCATCAATAAATTGAAAATCTTTTCCCATGGCTTCTTTTCAAAGATCAATGTGTGCTCACTTGATGACTTTGCAGTTTACTCTCACAAGTGAATCTAACCTCTGCATTGAATTAACTTGTGTGTTGCAACATAATTATTTAAACCATTTGCTTTGCGATGAGACTGCAGTCTGCCATTCACTTACAGAATTTTTTTCTGTTCCGCATGATGCTTAAAGTGAACATACATGTTTGACCTGAAAGGGGTCTGCGAAAGATAAGGGTCACGATCTGACCTCCACTGGCATGACTGTATGTGTAACATGTCAATGCAAGGAAGAGTCAAGGTAGGATCCAAATCCAGAAACATAGAACCAAACACATAGAGAACCAGGAAACAGAAACAACATGCCACAACTTCGCAAAGACAACGACTGACTCAGACTGACTAAAACACAGAACTATTATACACAGAGACACTAACAAGATGACAAGGTAACAAGACACACCTGGGAAAGTAATCAAGAGGACCAATGAAACAAAAGAACTACAAAATGACTACAAAAGGCACTCTAGACAGGAAGTAACACAAGTCCAAACACAAGACAGGGGAACATGAGCCAGATCATGACAGTATGTCTCTATGAACAGAGTACGATTCAGACAGGAAGGCACAAGCTTTTCAAATATGTCAGGTCTGACGGGTGCCTCAAGTTTTGTAGATAAAAATATGTTTCTTCTTGTGTCCCTAATGGCTCAGCCTAGATTGAAAGCCTGTAAATGCAGGTATTTTGAAGAGTTTTTTTTTTTCTTGACTTTTTGTAGAGGGAGACCTACATATTACCCATGAGGAGTGAAAGGTGGGTGGGTGCCGTTGTGTAGTGTGTTACTCCTCCAAAATGTGTTTTGCAATAGATATGTAGTTAATTATGATTTTAAAATGATGACAGGGAAGTTTGTAGTATTTGATGTTCCTCATGATGTGTGATCCTGTCTTTCCCTTCCCCCTGTGTGGAGGTCACAGCTGCATCGAGGTGGCAGTCCAGAATATGCCGGTGGCTCAATATCATTGATTCGAAAGAGCTCTCGGGCAAAACTGCATGACAAAGGACAAGAATAACCGCTGGTGATTGACATACACAGAGGGGAAGGACTTACTTCATAGATGCATATGTCTTTTTTAATAACTATATAAGGTCAAATCTAAAACGTGAAGGATTTTTGGCCAGACCAAACGCAGAGATCCTGTCATAACAAAATCCTTGTGGATTCCTGAATGACATGGATAATTTACCTCAGTAAAATAGTGCATGATTCAAAAGGCTGTAACAAGTGAACTGCCTGAGGAGATTTAGTGATGATTGGCCATGGATCTCAGCTACAAGCTGGATTCGGCTCTGAGAAGGAAATTGATGACTGCTGTCTTATTGCTGGACATTCATGGTGGGTTGTCATAATTTTAAATGGGGTAATGGCCATGTTAAAACACTAGTTTTATAAACTTGGTCATATTTAGGATACTAAAGCTGGATTATGCACTCTCTCCAGCATGGCTCACTTTTCCATATCTCCAAGAAAAGAAAATCTCTCTCTGCAGCTCGCCCACACATATTCCCTTCAGACAAACAGGCCTTAGCTCAGAATGCTTTTCATGAGCTGTACACAAGCAATCGGTGAAAACCAGTCAGTTTTGTTGCATTCGGATTATAAAACAATCCAATATTGATATGGTTTAGTAAGAAATTGTTGGGAAAAGTGCAGTTTGGCTGAAATGCAATAAAGCATCATCTTGCCTTAAAGGGATAGGTCATCCGAAAATAAAAAGTCTGCCATCATTTAATATCTCAGGTTTTTTTTTGTCCATGCAATGAAAGTCAGTCGGATCTAATGTTGTTTTGTTCCCCACTGACTTTCATTGTATGGACAAAAACAGTTTAAACACTCTTTAAATGATCTTATTTAGTGTTCTTAAAGGGATAGTTCACCCAAAAATGAAAAGTCTGCTATCATTTAATATCTTTGATGTGTTTTGGTCTCCACTGATTTTCATTGCATGGACAAAGAGAGTTGAAACATTCTTTAAAACATTCATTGTTTATGTTCTTAGAAGGATAGTTCCCCCAAAAATGAAACTTCTAAAAAAGGATGTTTAAAGAATCTGCAAAGAAGATATTCTGAAGAAAGTTGGTTGCCAAACAGTCAAACAGTTTTGGTTACCATTGATGTCCATTTCTCATACATAACATAACATAATATATGTTATGTTATGTTATGTTATATTTTTTAAAACATGTGCCATGATTTATATCACAAGACTTCATGTTACCATGTACATTCTCTTATTTAAAGCAGCCGGTCTCTGCTGGGATAGGTTTTGTTTCACTTCAAGCACAATAATAACTATTTCAGGCCTGGAGCGATGCAATATGAGCCACATATATTTTGCATCTGAAATGCAATTTGATTGATTAAAACTGGAGATCAAAAATTAGTACGTCTTGTACATTTGCAGTTGTAAATTAGGTTTTCAGGAAAACTATCTACTGTAGTTTTATGAAGTAGGTTTACATATGTAGAAAAATGCAATTAATTCTTAATAACATAATTCATAGTTATGTTTCTTCAACATCAATTTATGGCAGCTGAATAGCCTGTCCATGTGGTCCGTCCCTTTGAGCACCGGCTGTTGAATGACTGCTGTGAGTGACTCTCGGGTGAAAGCAGCGACTGACTGAAGGTGGAATACCGAAGATGGGCTTCCCATCGATCCTGGTCACGCATGATGATAAATGTTTGTGTAGGTTGCTCTGCATCCTCCCTCTTGAGATAGATTCATACACTTCATCTCTGTTGTATGGAGCGTAGGGCTGACATGAGACATATGAAGCAGGCCTCCAGTGGTCTCCAGCATATCAGTTGTATTCTGTGACACATGTTGTTACCTAGACTTAAATACTGCATGATAATCACTGTCAGCTCCCAGTCCTGCTCTCTGGATCTGCGTATTTCAGCAGTTTGCTTCAAATTTGGCATGTTTAGATGGA